CACCTTCCGCACCACGGACCAACCCCGGACACCTTTCGTAGTCGGCCCAGGGCTATCAAGACTGTGCAGAAAACTGAAATAAAGTCCAACGCATCGCCGCCACATATCGGTGCATTTAAATTCCTACTACCCGAACACAAATTCCAACCACCGGACTTTCCGAATCAAATCTGGACAGGTGGCAACTGCATCACCCAACCTCCCTGCGCCCCTCCCCGCTCACCCCTACACCCCCCCCCCCAACACCAAGCCCCACCACAGACAGCAGCTGGCCGGGCTGTGTGTGTGTGGTTGTGAATATCGGGATGGATTCCTGGGAGGTTTTGGAATCCACAAAATCCTGCACTTGGCCGGAATGCGCTCCTCTCTCACCGAACATGCCCATTCATGGCCGCCACGGCACGAAGATGCATAATGCCTGGCGCGTGCCAGACTGTGCGCTCATTTGAATGGGCGTGGGAACAGCCCCCCTCCCCAATTTACTTTGAAATTATATCCTTTCTGGGCCCCCATGCCACGCTATGCCTTATTGCCCCCCCCCCTACCCCGAACTTAACCACCGTTCCCGCGCTCCACCAGCAACTTCAAAACAGAGATGAGTGGAATCTAAATCGATGGCCATTTAGATTTCTAATTTCACTCCATTGCATCCGAATAACACGAGACGCGGTGAATTAACGTTGGGCACATACGTTACGTCGCTCAACTAATTTGCATGCATTGTGCCCCCTTCTCTGCTTTTGGCCCGAGCTCTTCTGTCGCTGCCCTGGCTGCCATTCTGTCAATAGCCCAAATCTGGACTTAAATCTGCGTGTGTTCCCTTCCCCACCTGGTGCTGCTGCTGTGCACAAGGCGGTGTGCAAGTGCCGTTAGCGAGCAGCAGCACCGATGACGGTCGAACACGACACACGGGGGCGTGGGTGGCCAACACCACGCCCGGTCATCTTTCTCCACCCATCGGGTACTCATTTAAGGCTGAGTCGACCTAGTGGAGGCCCAGAATCGGTTCAGATATTCGCCACCGTTACTGGTCGTGAAGGGGGAAATGGACCTCGGGTCACCGGCTTCGTAGCACAGCGCGCTAACCACTATACGATACGCACTCACAGGTAACACTCCACCTGTATAGACTCACAATCGTGTGTAACAACACACCTGTATGGGAGACAGCCACACCTGTAGTGCAGGTAAGCACTCCTTGTTTGTGGGTTTGGATGTGTTGGTTAAAAGCAGTGGTTCGTATCCTTTACTGGAGCCGTGCACCCCGATGTTTCTCAATCGTTAAAATATGGGGCCGTCCATAAATGACGTCGCGCGATTTTGGACGATTTTGACTCCCCCCCTCCCTCGTCACACAAAGTCAGACCCCCCCTCAATATAACGTCACAAAGCTCTTCCCCTCCCAATAAAAAACATGCTTCAAATCGCTTTGAACTATTGTTATTGTAGTGCGTATTTAATGTGGCGCTGCACTCTGATGTTGGAGAAAACATTTATTAAAAAGTCTATTTAATTAAGTGGAACGTGTTGTCTATATTTATTTAAAGTTGCGCATTTTGATGTGACGTTACATTTCTCACCCCCCCCCCCCCTCGTCACACATCGTCACAAATATCTGACCCCCACCCCCTAGGTGCGTGACGTCATTTATGGACGGCCCGTAATGTATGATGTTAACACTCACATAGGCTTTGTGGGATAAAGTAGTTGTACTTACTTGCGCGTGCTTCATTTGTGTTTCGACGATTTACCTTAAATCTGGCCATGTCTCGCACCCCCAGAAAGGGCCTCTCGCACTCCCCAGGGGGTGCGTGCACCCCCAGGTTTAAAAGCCACTGGTTGGTGGAGGGGGCAGAACCACAGCGCCCTCTGGCGGCCAGCTGGGCAACAGCATCGCCCACACCTCTTCACACTTGGCCCATCCACCCCTCATCACTGCACATCGCTGGTTGTGTGTGTGTATACCTGTGTGTTGGGTTGGGTGGGGGAGCGGTGGCATAGCGCCTATCGCGCTGCGCTCCTAAACCCGCGACCCGAGTTAGCTTCCCACTCACGGCCCAACATCGGTGGACGAATATAGAGGGAAACTACCCGCTGTCGCACGGCTGAAGTCTCACACCCACACGGGTGGCGAATTTCTCGGTTTTATACCGATGATTCCGGGGCTCGTAGGGTTGGTTGGTGACGGGGCCGAGCGCTCGCCGCTTGTTCTTGCAGGGCTTTCGCGGTTCGATTCCAGCTGTCGCTCTGGTTAATACCGCCGTGTGTATTCACAGTGAAGAATACATCGTGCCAGATGCGATCTCTCTCACCCTTCCGGATAATCATCATTATTATCATCGGGCTTTGCGTCTATCACGCTGCCTCTCACGAGCGGCAAGGGCGTTGAGCACGTGGGGATGCCAGCACACAGGGTGTGAGCACGTGGGCGGGGGTGTGAGAGCACGTGGGGGTGTGAGCACGTGGGTGGGGGTGTGAGCACGTGGGGATGCCAGCACACAGGGTGTGAGCACGTGGGTGGGGGTGTGAGCACGTGGGTGGGGATGTCAGCACACAGGGTGTGAGCACGTGGGTGGGGGTGTGAGAGCACATGGGCGGGGGTGTGAGAGCACGTGGGGGTGAGAGCACGTGGGGGTGTGAGCACGTGGGTGGGGGAGAGCACGTGGGTGGGGGTGAGCACGTGGGTGGGGGTGTGTGCACGCGGGGGTGGTGAGCACGCGGTTTATTGCAGCAATAATAGAGTATCGCAAACCACAGACGCGTCTTGAATGGTTACCAACGGAATATAAAACACAAAAACAGTTTAAAACACGTGCTGCACCATTTAATTTCAGCGTCTCAACGACACCACGGTGGGGTTGGAGCGCTGGCGCAGTGGTGAGCGCCCCGCACTATGAACCCAAGCGAGCCGGGGTTCAGCTCCCGGCTGCAGCCGACGACGATGTCGAGCGACATCTGAAGCGGGTCCTTGGACCCAACCCCAGTCACCAACCGCCCGCTGACTGGCGTGGTGAAGTTACAGTTTGGGAGAATTGCAATGATCAGCAGTGGATGAAGAACGGCTGTACATTATGAATTTATTATACAACACCACGTAAAATGTACAGCGATTAAAGTCTTGTTCACACACGGTCGACAAGAGCGACCCGTCATCACGGTCGCGGGTGGAGGCTCCGCGTAGAGCCCAACGCAGAGGCCTTCACAGCCAACGCTGGAGTCCAGGGTTTGGGTTTTGGGTTCGGGCCACGTAAACTATCCGGCCCCGAATTTGTGTCGGCAAGTCCCTGCACCGCCCGACACGGCCAAACGAATTGAATTGTCGCGCGGCGTACAGGCGTCTCACGGCGCGCCCTGCCCGGCGACGTTCGAGAACCGGACCTCCTCGCAGCCGAGTTGCCCTCCGTGTTCGAGACGCGACCGCGCCGATGCAGCAATCGGGGCCGATGCCGCGGGGAAGTCAGAGCAAAATCCGCAACGTCCGGGAGGGTGCCACGATCCCATTCAAGAATCGATTTTTGCACCGCCGCGTTTCCCGTTTGTACCACCTCGTCCGCTCCATCCACCTGAATGCAACATCAGCACTCGTTCGCATATCGTTTACATATATCATTGATTATATCGGTGCAATGGCGAACCTCAAATCATCAGCAGTGATGAACCCCTGCGTCTGTGGACCCCCATTTGTTGTCCACGCTTCTCGCCCAGCATGTCACTGAGCAGAGAGATGGCTTTGCATCGAACCGGGAAGAGAGAGGGTCCTTGCTAATAAACACGTGGCAGTTCACCGGCACTGGTTCAAGCAAGCCCGACTCTGCTGGTGAGACACCGTTTGTCGAAACCGGTGCTTTCTGCTCGCGTTGAACCAATGCTGCTGATGAGATGCACTCACAGAAGGCCGTGTGGCTCATGGGATCTGTCAAATATTTTTATGCGGAGGGGACGGACACGGGAAGGTGGCGGTTTATTGATCCTGTCACTTAATCAAATAGCCATGGTTACCACCATGGTTACCACCATGGCTACTGCTATAACCATGGCGACCGCTATTACCACGGTTACCGTTCCCCCTCAACTACGCTCCTTGATTCCTCCGCCCGTGTCGAGGAATCGGTCTTTAGCAGACACGGACTGTGTCGTCTCAACCGCCACCACCACCACCACACTGCAGGTCACAACAACCCACTCACCCACTCACTCACCCACGCACTCACCCACTCACCTACTCACTCACCAACGCACTCACCCACTCACTCACCCACTCACTCACCCACCCACTCACCCACTCACTCACCAACGCACTCACCCACTCACTCACTCACCCACACTTCTCTTTCCGCTTCTTCCCCGGCACTCAGATGCATCCGAAGGAGGGCGGCCCGAGAACTCCAAGCTGCGTCCACTGCGCGCTACATTAATAAAACAACATTCAATAAAACTCACCTCTGGCAAATATCAATATTAATGTTGTGGGTCTCGCGGGGGAGAGGGGTGGGGGGCAGTCCACCCAGCAGCGTGAGAGTCACCCAGCAGTTAAAGTCACCCTCATTCCCGCACCTCCGATTAGCACGGTTGGCTACGTGCGGCGCGAAATTAGTTCAGCAGGCCAAACGTACGTGTCCTCTTACAATGCCACCCGGGGGTCGGATTATCTGGAGGCGCACGATTCGTCCCGTTATCCGTGATTTTTCGTGAGTGACGGCACAGACGTCTGGAACGATTTTGCAGATAGCAGGATAAAGGGGGGTGGTGGGCAGGGGGGTGATTCGCACGCTGATGTGGTTTTCTGGTTTGTACCGCTCTGTGCTGCTCAACACGATGTCCGACGTTTCGCTCCACTCAGCGGTTCGCGTCCTCCCAACGCCGCGTTCCAAACCCACCGAGTCCTCCGCACGGCTCCCTTCCGCGTCTCCGTGCTGGTCGGCGGCCGCAGCCCCCTCCCCGCGGCCCCTCGGCCCCCCTCCCCGCAACTCCCCCCCCCCCACCCACCCTCACCCCCGCCCCTATGTGCCGTCGCTGAGCACGTTGAGCAGCGTGTCGGGGTCCATGCCGAGCTGCGAGGCCATGCTGCGCACGTCGAAGCCCAGCTGGGTGAGGAAGGCGATGGCGCTCACCTCCTGGCCCGTGAGCGCGTCGCGCAGCGCCGGGCAACTCGGGTTGCAGTGCGGCCACGGGCAGCTGTCGACGGCGCGGAAGGCGCAAGGCGCCGGTGCCGCCGCCGCCGCCGCCGCCGCCCACCGCTCCGCCGGGGTGGAGGAGGAGGCGCCGGCGCTGCCGCCGCTGCCGCCACTGCTGCCGCCGCTGCTGCCCCCCTCGCCAGAGACGCCGCTGCCAACGGCGGGAGGTGACCGTTCCGCCAGGGCACCCTGCGGCGCCGGCTGCTGCTGCTGCTGCTGATGCTTGGTGCCGTTTCGAGACGCCGCGTGCTGGAGGCTCTGCTCCCAGCACTGCAGGGCGCGAGGTAGCGTCAGCCCCTTCACCTGAACGTCAGCCCAGCCACTAGGGAGCGGGGGAGGGGGAAGTGTGAGAGGGGTGGGGAGGGGGTGCAGCAGAAAGCTATCAGCCAACTGCACCGAGCAGGAGGATGAGATGGAGACGGAGGGGGTAGATGGGAAGATGCGGTGGAGCGACATACGAGGAGAGTGGTAGACGTGACGTGAGAGGAGGTGGCGAATTGACGCTCGTGGAGAGAGACAGACAGAGAGGGCGCGAGAGTGGTCCAGGCGACGGAGACGGGCGATGAGCATCAGCTGCGAGCCGCGAGAAGTATCTACAGCGCAGCATTGACGGCGGCAGCAGCAGCAGCAGCTGTACCACGCCAACAGTGAGGATTTTATTTTGTCATCCACAATTATTTGTTTTTATCTGCGATCGCGCCATCGTCGTTACGCCGTCACAAGACGACAAACCCGTCGGGAAATGTCGCAGACGGCAGCGCCACCCTTTTCCGTGTTCGAGATCGGAAGTGGATATCGTAGAGCTACCTCTGAGATCCCTTCGAGTGACCTCCGGTCCACACAGGAGGGAGTGGCACTTGCCACCCACACTGCCACCGACAATAAAAGCGACTGAGTTCACAGTCAAACCCGTTACTTGTGATTGTTAGCGTTGACTTTGAGCCAAAATTTTAACCAAAAAAACTAAATGCGTCGCGACGGTTTGTTTTGCGCAGTCATTGATACACGGGTCGACGCCGTCAACCCAACTCAATGCACTTTGAGAACCCGGTTCTAATCACGGGCAGCGGCTGAAACCTATATTCGAGCCCAGGGTCCCAGCGGTGCCGGGTGAGCACGCTGACCTCTGACCTCTTTCTAAAAGGGAACCCAATGAAGATGATGGTGTTAATGATGATTGTGATGACGGTGATGAAGATTGCGATGATGGTGATGATGCTGCTGTTGTTGCTGCATCGCAGACGAGTCGTACCTGCTCGTGATAAGCGTGTGAGCGAGGCACGCGGGAGAGAAGACCGCCCTGTACAAACAAACACACGAACGGCCACACACAGAGATACACGACAAATATAAACGGGCAAATAAACAAATGAACGCACGTGCGAATGTCCCTGCACATCGGAGCCGGCACGCCTGGGATCGATCATTCGCTCTGTGCGAGTGGGTTGGTGGATTAAACCGGGACGTGTGCAGCTCCCCCACCCGCACACCGGGCGCGCGGCACGTGGTTCCAGCGGCGGGATCAGTTGCCCGATTATCCGAGTAGCAAAAGTAGCTACACGTGTAGTAGCTACATGTGTACTAGTTACACGCGTAGTAGCTACAACGCGTATAGTAGTTACACGCGTAGTAGCTACACGTGTACTAGCTACACGTGTAGTAGCTACACGTGTAGTACACGTGTAGTAGCTACACGTGTAGTAGCTACACCACGTGTAGTAACTACACGTGTAGTAGCTACATGTGTAGTAGCTACACGCGTAGTAGCTACATGTGTAGTAGCTACACGTGTAGTAGCTACATGTGTACTAGCTACATGCGTAGTAGCTACATGTGTAGTAGCTACACGTGTAGTAGCTACATGTGTACTAGCTACATGCGTAGTAGCTACATGTGTAGTAGCTACACGTGTAGTAGCTACATGTGTAGTAGCTACATGTGTACTAGCTACATGCGTAGTAGCTACATGTGTAGTAGCTACATGTGTAGTAGCTACTACATGTGTGCTAGCTACATGTGTAGTAGCTACATGTGTAGTAGCTACATGTGTAGTAGCTACATGTGTAGTAGCTACATGTGTGCTAGCTACATGTGTAGTAGCTACATGTGTAGTAGCTACGTGTGTAGTAGCTACATGTGTAGTAGCTACATGTGTAGTAGCTACATGTGTGCTAGCTACATGTGTGCTAGCTACATGTGTGCTAGCTACATATGTAGTAGCTACATGTGTAGTAGCTACATGTGTACTAGCTACATGTGTACTAGCTGCATGCGTACTAGCTACATTTGTACTAGCTACATGTGTGCTAGCTACATGTGTACTAGCGACATGTGTACTAGCTACATGTGTAGTAGCTGCATGTGTAGTAGCTGCACGTGTAGTAGCTACACGTGTAGTAGCTACACGTGTAGTAGCTGCATGTGTAGTACTAGCTACATGTGTAGTAGCTACACGCGTAGTAGCTACATGTGTGCTAGTTACATGCGTAGTAGCTACATGTGTACTAGCTACATACATAGTAGCTACATGTGTAGTAGCTGCATGTGTAGTAGCTGCATGTGTAGTAGCTGCATGTGTAGTAGCTACATGTGTGCTAGCTACATGTGTAGTAGCTACGTGTGTAGTAGCTACATGTGTGCTAGCTACATGTGTAGTAGCTACATATGTAGTAGCTACAGGTGTACTAGCTACATGTGTAGTAGTAGCTACGTGTGTACTAGCTACATGTGTAGTAGCTACATGTGTAGTAGCTACATGTGTAGTAGCTGCATGTGTAGTAGCTACGTGTGTACTAGCTACATGTGTAGTAGCTACACGCGTAGTAGCTACATGTGTGCTAGCTACATGTGTAGTAGCTACGTGTGTAGTAGCTACATGTGTAGTAGCTACATGTGTAGTAGCTACATGTGTAGTAGCTACATGTGTAGTAGCTACATATGTGGTAGCTACGGGCCCCGCACTTTCAAGGGTCCCGCACTAAATGCTTTCAAGCTATAAATTCTGGTTCAGTGATTCTGCACTTGCTCTATTACTATAGTACTATGCCGCCTTCAACTTTTACGAACGACGGGGTGTTTCAGGTTAGCGATTTGTCGTATTATCTGTGGCTGTATAGCAAATGAAAAAACACGATTGCTTTACTATGCCAGTTAAAAATTTGTGTTTCAATATTTAGGTGTTTTTATTTCATTTTGAATTCAGGGCCCCATTATAACACGTGCTGCAGGCCCCGCGCTAGCTGAATCTGGCACTGGGGCGGGATTGAAGCACAGCGAGCGGGTTCTGGGTCTCTCCCTCGCACACAGCGCGGTGGCGCTGGCTTCTCTCTGGGCACTCCGCTTCCCTCTACGACGTTTCGATCGCAACAGAAGCGGTCGTCACCTTTCTTCCCCGATGACGACCGCTTGTGTTGAGATCGAAACGTCGTAGTTTTTTGTTATTTTCTTTGAACCTATCCACGTGACTTTACCGGAGCCAGGGGGGTGACAGGGTAGACAATTGTCACCCCCTGAAAAAATAAAAAAATCGAAAATCTGAAACATTCTGCGTATGAGTGTGCGACACTCGGTCTGGCGGACTCCGTGCAACTGCATTGTCAGAGTGCGTCGCCAACCGATGGCGTGGGGTCATAGCCGATTTCTCATTCAATCATTCTTGAAATTAAAATTTGTTGAATGTCACCCCGGGCTGAAGAAAATCCTGGCTCCGCCTCTGCCAAATAATACTTAATTGATAGCTTGAAATAATTTAGCGCGGGGCCCTTGAAAGTGCCTGGCCCGTAGCATATGTAGCTACTTTTGCTACGAGGATAATCCGGCACCGCACACGACGCATGACACAGGCACGTTCACAACACGAGCCGCTGCCTCTCTCTGTAGTGCCCCGCGTGTCTCCTTGCCGCCCGGGGCTTCTCTCCCCGGCCCGGCCGCCAGGGGGCAGCGGCCCCACTCGCAGCCCTGGCCTCAACAACTCCGCGCCTTCGTCGAAGGCAGTCGCAGTATCCACCAAGTCACCCCCCCCCCCGCCCCCTCTATAACGTTTCGGGAAACGGTCCTTCCTCAGAGCAGAGCGTCCATCCAAATTATCCAGCAGTGGCCCACCCCCCACCCCTATAACCGCACCCTGCTGTCGCGCGGCATGGCCACGCTCCCCGTTCGCACGGCGTTGCGATGGACCTATCGGTGAACGACCTCTCTTCGGTGGTGGATTATGCAGCGGCGAATCATTCGTTGTTGGAATATTCAATGGTGGACTACTCAGTGGTGGACTATTCAGTGGTGGACTACTCATTGGTGGACTATTCGGTGGTGGACTATTCAGTGGTGAATAATTAGTTGGTGGACTATTCGGTGGTGGCATATTCAGTGGTGGACTATTCAGTGGTGAATAATGCGTTGGTGGACTATTCGGTGGTGGACGATTCAGTGGTGGACTATTCAGTGGTGAATACATTCGTTGGTGGACTATTCAGTGGTGGACTATTCAGTGGTGAATAATTCAGTGGTGAACTATTCGGTGGTCGACGATTCAGCGGTGCACTCGTTTCTCGGTGGACCATCCAGTGGTGGACCATCCAGTGGTAGACCATCCGGTGGTGGACCATCCGGCGGTAGCCGGCGCCGCCGCTGGTGCGGCCACTCACGGCAGCGGGTGGAGTGTGGCGCGCAGCTCCTGTCCCAGCTCGCGCAGGTAGGGCAGCTGGTCGCCGCCCCGAGTCGGCCCCAGCAGCTGCACGTTGTCGGCAGTCAGCTGGGCCTCGTCGAAGAGCCACTGAGCCACAAACACCGGGGCTGGGGGGGGGCAGGGGGAGTGGGTGGAGGGTGACTGGGTAGGTGAGTGGGTTGCTGAGTGGGTGGTTGGGTGGCTGGGTGTGTGGGGTTGGTAGGCGAGTGGTGTGCGTGTGTTGGTGTGCGTACACTTGGCACAGTGGGGGGGTACAGCTGGTGGTGCATCTGCGAGTCATCTCAGTCAGCCAACCCATGGCACCTGCCGGGTCTGTCCCGTGACCTCCTGTCAGTCAGCGAGCCTTCGACGCTTCGCGTGGCCCCAAAGTGCGCCTGGCCTGGTGCAGGCGCCATGGTGATGTCACCGTCAGTGGCGAACGGCGGGTATTGCTTCAGTTGTGTATACAGGTGTGTGTACAGGTGCGTACAGGCGTGTGTATGGATGCGCGTGGAGGTGTGCGTAGGAGCGGGTGTAGGTGAGCACACTCACTGGCGAGCGTCTGGAAGGTGATGAAGCCGAAGAAGCATTTCCACTCCTCCCCCGGGGGGAGATGCAAGCGGCACCGCTCCGGAACCGACCCATTCCAGAACCTGGGCACGGCGGGCAGAGCACGGGCACGGCGGTCAGCGTCGGGGCACGGCAGGCGAGGTCACCACGTGAAGACACCACGACCGTGAGCACGGCGGTGACGTCAATGCCCGTGACCCCGTGACCTCGCCCTCACCGGACGGCGTGCTGCATAGAGTGAGCGGGGGCCCCCGCGCCGCAGTCCGCCCCGGGCCGGATCCCCCCTCCGCAGCCGGGGGCCGCTCCGCCCCCCCTGCGCTCCACGAACCATCCCGAGTCGGCGAGCCCCCTCAGCTGGGCCGGGACCCCCAGGGCACGGAGCTGGGCGGCCAGGCTGTCCAGGTGCAGCAGCACTCCCGTGCCACCCGCGCTGAGCCACACGCGGGAGACAACAACGACAACTCTGATTTAAAAAAGAAAACAGAAGCAGAATATTTAGTTACGCTGGATAGAATCCGATGGGCTATGAGGCTCTTTTTCACAAGCGTCACAGGTGTCACAACAATGAACAACGACGAACAACAACATCAACAACAATAACAACGTCGGCTGAAGGCGGTCTGGAGTTCATGTTGCGGACGAGACAGCGCTGGGGCGGATCTTGAAAACTCGACAGAGCAACTGCCAGCAGTGGCGCGTGGATCCATAATACACTCATCATCATCACCATAATACACTCATCATCACCATAATACACTCATCATCATCACCATAATACACTCATCATCATCACCATAATACACTCATCACCATCACCATAATACACTCATCACCATCATCATCACCATAATACACTCATCATCATCACCATAATACACTCATCATCATCACCACAATATACTCATCATCATAACCATAATACACTCATCATCATCATCATCACCACCATAATACACTCATCACCATCCCCATACTACACTCATCATCATAATACACTCATCATCATCATCATCACCATAATACACTCATCATCATCACCATAATACACTCATCATCATCATCACCATAATACACTCATCATCATCACCATAATACACTCATCATCACCATCACCATAATACACTCATCATCACCATAATACAATAATCATCATCACCATAATACACTCATCATCATCATAATACACTCATCATCACCATAATACACTCATCACCATCACCATAATACACTCATCATCATAATACACTCATCATCATCACCATAATACACTCATCACCATCACCATGATACACTCATCATCATCACCATCATCACCATAATACACTCATCACCATCACCATAATACACTCATCATCATCAATATACACTCATCATCATCACCATAATACACTCATCATCACCATAATACACTCATCATCATCACCATAATACACTCATCATCACCACCATCACCATAATACACTCATCATTATCATAATACACTCATCATCATCATCATCACCATAATACACTCATCATCATCATCACCATAATACACTCATCACCATCACCATAATACACTCATCATCATCACCACCATAATACAATCATCACCATCCCCATACTACACTCATCATCATCATCATAATACACTCATCATCATCATCACCATAACACACTCATCATCATCACCACCATAATACACTCATCATCATCACCATAATACACTCATCATCATCATCACCATAATACACTCATCACCATCACCATAATACACTCATCACCATCATCATCACCATAATACACTCATCATCATCACGGTAATACACTCATCACCATCACCATAATACACTCATCATCACCATAATACAATCATCATCATCACCATAATACACTCATCATCATCACCATAATACACTCATCATCATAACCATAATACACTCATCATCATCATCACCATAATACACTCATCACCATCCACATACTACACTCATCATCATCATAATACACTCATCATCATCATCATCACCATAATACACTCATCATCATCACCATAATACACTCATCATCATCATAATGCACTCATCATCACCATAATACACTCATCACCATCACCATAATACACTCATCATCATAATACACTCATCATCATCATCACCACCATAATACATTCATCACCATCACCACGATACACTCATCATCATCACCATCATCACCATAATACACTCATCACCATCACCATAATACACTCATCATCATCATCAATATACACTCATCATCATCACCATAATACACTCATCATCACCATAATACACTCATCATCACCATAATACACTCATCATCACCACCATCACCATAATACACTCATCATCATCATAATACACTCATCATCATCAAAATACACTCATCATCATCACCATAATACACTCATCACCATCACCATAATACACTCATCATCATCATCATACACTCATCATCATCATCACCATAATACACTCATCATTATCACCATAATAGACTCATCATCATCACCATAATACACTCATCATCATCACCACCATAATACACTCATCACCATCATCACCATAATACACTCATCACCATCATCACCATAATACACTCATCACCATCATAACCATAATACACTCATCATAATTACCATAATACACTCATCACCTTCATCACCATCGTTATCTTATACTGTGCCTCTCATAACAGAACGTCTTAATGCGCTGCACGTGAATAACGAGACCATAATACACTCATCATCATCAGCATAATACACTCATCATCATCAGCATAATACACTCATTACCAACAGCATAATACACTCATCATCATCATCACCATGATACACGCATCACCATCATCATCACCATAATACAATCATCACCAACACCATGATACACTCATCATCATCACCATCATCACCATAATACACTCAGCATCATCACCATCACCATAATACACTCATCATCACCATAATACACTCATCATCACCATAATACACTCATCACCATAATACACTCATCATCATCATCACCATAATACACTCATCATCATCATCACCATAATACACTCATCATCATCACCATCACCATAATACACTCATCACCATCATCATCACCATAATACACTCATCATGACCATAATACACTAATCATCATCACCATAATACACTCATCACCATCATCATCACCATAATACACTTATCACCATCATCACCATAATACACTCATCACCAACACCATAATACACTCATCATCATCATAATACACTCATCATCATCACCATCATCACCATAATACACTCATCACCACCACCATAATACACTCATCACCATCATCACCATAATACACTCATCATCACCATAATACACTCATCACCATAATACACTCATCATCACCATAATACAATCATCATCACCATCATCATCACTATAATACACTCATCATCATCATCACCACCATAATACACTCATCACCATCATCATCACCATAATACACTCATCACCAACACCATAATACACTCATCATCATCACCATAATACACTCATCACCACCACCATAATACACTCATCACCATCATCATCACCATAATACACTCATCATCACCATAATACACTCATCACCATCACCATAATACACTCATCATCACCATAATACAATCATCATCACCATCATCACTATAATACACTCATCATCATCATCACCATAATACACTCATCACCATCATCACCTCCACCACCATAATACACTCATCATCATCACCATAATACACTCATCATCATCACCATCACCATAATACACTCATCATCACCATAATACACTCATCACCTTCATCACAATCGTTATCTTATACTGCGCCTCTCATAACAGAACGTCTTAATGCGCTGCACGTGAATAACGATACACTTAGGAGAGACAATCCACGCGATAAAAACTCGACAACAACAACAGCAGCAGCAGCAATGATGATAACTACACTCGCGATGGATGGAGACAGAATGAAAGTCCCAACCGCGATCAAAGCCACGCGTACTAAATCACAATCGCGGCGCAGCTGACGTCAAGCCAATGGGTAAACCGGGTCGGGGTTTCCAGATGAATTTCAAAGCACCGCTGACAAGAGTCACAAACTTGAGGGCCAGCTTGACCGGAGAAGATGCAACGAAAGCCCCCCCCCCCCCCCCCCCCCCAAGGGTGGAGCGGAGCTCGCTGGGGACGGCAGCGAGAGACGGGGGAGAAGGAGAGAAGAGCACGCGGATTGAAGATCTCGCCAGGCACGCGCGCGCGTGCGCGGGAGAGTGACGAATCGAGGGCAGGCAGACGCAGCGGCTCGCTCGCGTCTCCCGTGTCTCCACGCGAGAGAAGGGGAAAACACGCACGTGCAAAGCAGTGCCGGATGAAGCTAGTGCGGGGCCTGTAGCGTAAGTTATGAAGGGGCCCTAAACCAAAAATAAATTGCTTTAGCTCGCATTGTAAAGTGATTGGTATTTTTTCATTTGCTCAACAGTCATATAACACGACGAAGCGCTAGCCTTAAATACCATGTCGTTCGTAAAAGTTGAAGGCGGTATAGTACTATAGTAATAGAGCAAGTGCAGAATCACTGAACCGGAATTGATAGCTTGAAAGCATTTAGCGCGGGGCCCCTGAAAGTGCGGGGCCCGCAGCTGCTACAGATGTAGTAGCTACTAAAGATGTAGTAGCTACTACATATGCAGTAGCTACTACACATGTAGCTACTTTTACTCCTAGGATAATCCGGCACTAGTGCAAAGTAGTTTCTGACACGTCCCATCAGCAGCGCGGCGTCGAGGGAGAGCATCGTGGCAGCAGCATGGACTCAAGACAAAGCAACGCCGTGGAGCGCATTGAGACGAGCGAGCGGGTGCAGGAGCCGTGGGCAGGACGCGCCTTGGGAATGTAGGGAGTGTGGAGGCGAGGGGCAGGGGAAGGGGCAGGTGAGCCTAAGCACGAAGTGGCAGCCGCGGGGACGGAGCGGTGGGCTGCTCGGTGAGGCTGTGGCGCCATCCAGCAATGGAAGTCTCACGGCTGACGATGTTTGTCGTCGTTCTCGTCGTCATCATCACACCGCTGTGGACGTATTGAATTTGTTTTATCGTTATAATGTCCACCCCGTGCCACCACCACCACCACCACCTGCCACCACGCGCTACCAAAGACAAATATCCCCCGTATAGCCTTAACAGACTGTTTGGGCAAGTGTTCACGAGGGCCGGACGGCACATGCCGAGGGTGGCTGGACCAGCACCACGTCCGACCGCCTTTGTCCCCCCCCTAGTGAGGATGTTTACACACCGCGCCAGGTACTCATTTGACCTAGGGGATGGGTCCAAGACCGATTCAGACAATTGTCATCGGGAATCGGAACTCGGCCCGCTGGGTTTTGAGCGCAGCCGCTCCCCGCCACCAGCAACCACCACTCACCTGCTGCCTGCCAGCATGATGGTGCGCGCGTGACCCATCCCGTGCCTCACCAGCTCCACCACCACCTCCCGCAGGATCCGCGCCCCCAGGAACGCGTACCCACCTGGGGGCCAGGGGGGAGAGTGGGCACGGGGGGGGGGCACGGGGGGTACGGAGGGAGGGGTGGCACGGGGGGGGCACGGGGGGGGGGGTGGCACGGGGGGGGCACATCAGCTGTTTGGACAAAGGATCGGCCACTTGAACCAATCAACCCACTGCTCAAAATCAGTGGCTCAATAAAGCAACCAGTCGCCCGGATCATTCAACGAACACAAGCGACCGATCGCTGCGTTACTCAATAAACCACCTCCCATAACGATCAACCATTCAACAAAAGGCTCGACCAACCGAGCAAGCGATGCATTAATAAACCGATCCACTCACTGAATTCATTAACCAATCACTTAATCAACAAGTCACGTAATCCATATCCACGAATGGATTGGCCTCTGAGTGACCCACTCAAATCGGTTACTCAATCCACCCGGCGAGCATGGAGCCGAAGGCGATTTTTGAGTTCGGGCCGGGTGACCCACGCGGGCGGCGGGCGGGGGTGGGGTGGGGGGTGGGGGTCTGGAGCGGCACGAACCGCTCCGGATCACGGAGGCCTCGAGGCTCGGTGAAGGCCGTCGCTGCGGCGGGGATCTCACCTCGACTGGAGCGCGGCGCGTTCCCGCTCCACACGTCACTCGAGCAGTACGGCACGAAGCTACAGCAGACAAAGACAAAGATCCCCCGTGTAGCCTTAACAGACCGTTGGGGCAAGTGCTCTTAGCGAGCAACCTATGAAGGCCGGCACGGCACACGAAGGGGGTGGTTGGACAGCGCCACGCCAGGCCGCCTTTGTCTCCCCATTGCTGCCGTTTACTCACCACGCCAGGTGCTCATTTGAGGCTGAGCCGACCTAGGGAAGGCCCAGGACCGGTGCCAATATAACAAATTGGGACCACACACACAGCAGCAGCAGCATCGCCCCTCCTTCTGTAAAAAAAAAAAACTTGGTAGGGCACTCCTGCAAGCGAGTCTTGAGACTCAGCCGCCCACCCTCCCTCGCCACTTACACGGTGTTTGCGTTCCACCAGTGCGGGTTCTCCTCGGGGCGCGGAGACAGGATCCCGTTCCCTGCAGCCGGAACCACGGGGGGAAGGGAACCACGGGGGGAGATGGGAACCACGGGGGTGGGGGGGGGGGGGAGAACAACAGAAGTCACATCACAGCGATGTCAGCGTGCCCCTGAAAGTCTCTTCAAAGTTGTTTTGATTCGGATTAAGGAGGGGTTGAACTATGCAACCCAGGCCCTGCACCGCCTCACTCTAACATCAATAGCGTCACCAACAATAACAGCAGCGACAATAGTGTCACCAACAACAATAGCGTCAACAACAACAACAATAACAACAATAGCGAGGATTGCATCGACAACAACAATAGCGTCAAGAACGAAATCCTACGCCAATAGCAACAGAGGAGCAGGGTCTGTGCACGTGCTGTCGTGGCTGTGGTGGAGGGGAGGTTGAGAGTGTGTAGCTGCTGTACATTTCCACACGATGATGATAAAGCCACTTTGTTGAGCTACGATCGCTTCTGGAAAAGAGCTATTTCGCTCCGTGGGCTTCACCTGTTAAAATACATTTTCTTTTTAAAGTTTCGTTTTTAGTTAAAATAACAAAAAGTTTACTTAAAATAAAAAGTTTAGTTTTTTTTAGTTATAGTTTGTGGAGTTCTTTTCCACATCCGTCCCTCGACATAAAAAAAATGTACACATCTCATCAGCAACACGACCTCGTGGGAGTTGTCCACCGGTCGCAGCGGCGCACAGCATTGTTGGTTCGACACGCGCAACGCTGCTGAAGACGTCTCGACTCACGGCGTCTCGACAGCAGCGGCAGGCGTCACCGCAACAATCACTGCTGGTGAACTGTCACACTCCAGCTGGGGGTTGGTGGCGTGCGGGGGGTGGGATGAGGGCGAAGGGCGGAGGGGGCCGGGTGGTCACGTGACACCCCCCTCCTCCTCGTCCTCGCTTACCTGTGCGCGTGTGGGGCCACTCGGCGGAGCTCATGAGATGATGGAGGGACGCGAATCGCGCATCGCAGCTTTCTCTGCTGTGACAATACCAGCCTCCTGGGGGCGGGGGGCGGGGGGAGAGTGGGGGAGAAGGGGGGGGAGAAGGGGGGGAGAGAGGGGTCAGCGTCATCACCAAAGGAGCAGCGAGGCATCGGTGCTTGTCGCCTGTTTACAGCCCTGAGCCAGCGGTGGAAATTCCACATTCCTATGGCGGGTGCGAGTAGATAACACACTTATGTATGTGTGTTGAACTTCTTTCGCACCGTACGTAGCCAACCGTGCTAACTGGAGGTGCGGGGGAAGGACAAACAAACTAAACACAAAATAAATGAGTTTGTCAATCTAGATGATGATGATGATGATTCAAAAAGTGCATAGCTCCAGTGGCTTCCTGATTGGCGGAAGAAAGAGCGTTCCAGACGGGCATCTGTTAAAACGCGCCGCAATGCGGTAACCACCGTCTTTGTTCGACGACTTGACAAAAAGCCACCGCTGCTGCGGGAATGGCCAGAGTTCACGTGATGGTTCATGCTCCTTGGACTGACACAACATGGTACTCGTTTTACCGAACTCGGAGTGACGATGATGAGCCGAGTCAACCCCCCTCCCTCCCAAACATGGTTTTTGACCTCGCGACCTTTCCGATCGCCGCTCCTCCGCTGAGCCACGTGGGCAGATGGATCCATCCGGGGGGAAGAGACTTCAATTCCTCAGCAACTCAAAGCGCCTTACATCTCATCCCACGGGTAACCCCCCCCCATCTCCCACCCCCAGTGGCAGCTGGCCCTGTGCAGCACAACACGTGCGCATGCAGTGCCGGCCTGCAAACAAATAGACGCAGGGACTCGCACAGAGACCACCCCCCCCCCCCCCCCCATTTACTGACACCGAGGCAAACGTACAACCCACGGTGACCCAGAGACTCACTACAGGGGGAAAGGTCAGGGTTGAAGTCACGGGGTCAAGGTCGACAGAGGCTGGGGGTCGGAGTCTCTCCGAGCGTGCGATGGCACCAGCGGCCTCCTCACCTTCAAGGAATATCAGCCACCGCTTGCTACCCTCCGACTTGCGGATATAATACCTGTTTGCCGGGGGGGGGGGGGCAGGGATCAGCGGTTAGACAAGGGATCGTTGCAGGGGTCTCCAAGGACTTTGGAAGTCATCGGGGATCATCGGGGGGCTCTTCAGAAAAACAACTGTTCTGGATTTTAGGGTTAAAGAATTAAGGAATCGTATTCCGAACATACCCCCCCCCCCACCACCACCACCACCATGGAATGTTGGGCACTGTCAGAGACCGGTCGGGGTATGTCGGAGACCATCAGGAACTATTGGGGACCATCAACGGGCATGCTGATCAGGGACCTATAGGAGCTATCGGAGGCCATAATGTATGATCAGGAAGCATTGGTGGCCACTGCAGACCATCAGTGATCACCGGAGATCACTGAAGACCAACAGAGGACAATGCACAGGTATCAGGGGCCATTGGAGACCACGGGTGGACGCTGGAGATTATCAGCAGCGATTGAAGGGGGACCAATCATTGAACATTCGTGATTATTATAAAAGGGACCTCCACTTGGGGATCCATCAGTAAAGCAGGGACAGGTGTAGACCAAAGGGAACCATCCGTGAGAATTCGCGATTAGCGGGGGGGTGGTCGAGGGGTTTGGAGGGATGGTGGAGGGGTGGACGGGGGGATGGTGGGGGAGTGGTGGTGGGGGGGTGGGCGGGGGGATGGTGGGGGGGGGTGGGCGGGGGGATGGTGGGGGGGTGATGGTGGGGGGGTGGTGGTGGGGGGTGGGCGGGGGGATGGTCCTGAGTGGTGGGGGATGGTGGGGGGAGGGGGGATTGCCGCGCACGCACCCAGCGGGGCTGCCGTCGTTACAAGTGACTTCTCTGCCGCTGCCGAGGAATCGCAACCGCAACGCATCCGCCCCGCGCTCTGCCGCGCCGCCACCGCCGCCACCGCTGCTGCCGCCGCCGCTGCTGCCGCACGCGTGCAGGGAGCGCGCCAGGCTCCCCAGCTGCGCGCTCAGCCACTCCGCCGCCGGCTCCCTCGGCTCCCGCTCCGAGGCTTTGCCTGCCGGTGGGCTCTTCATGACCTGCGCAGCCGCGGCAGCCGATGCCACCTTCACGCCAGATGCCGCTTGTCGAGAATGTTGGGCCATTCCACCGGGCAGCTTCAGAGGTCTCTGCTGATGATGCTGCTGCTGCTGATTATGCTGCTGCTGATTATGCTGCTGCTGCTGCTGATGATGATGATTCCAAGGGTCCATCCTTACACCCCCGGGCCCCCCAGTCCCCACGGCGCCCCCGGGCCCCCCGGCGCGGTTTAGGGCCTGCATGTCCTCCCCGCCACTCGGCCCGTGCTGCCCGTGGCCGCGTGGGGGCCTCTGGTCTCGGTGGCGCCGCGCGGCCACGTTGGGCCCCCCCCTCCAGGAGGTGCGGCGAGGTTGAGGCCACGGGGACGCGGGGCCCGAGGGAGCCGCCGGGGACCCGGGGAGTGACCCGGGGAGGATCGCGAGGGCCACGAGCAGTGGCCAGACGCGCGGGGGAGACATGGCCGGGGCCTCCTCTTGCTGCTGCTGCTGATGATGCTGCCGCTGCCGCTGATGATGCTGCTGCTGATGATGATGCTGCTGCTGATGATGCTGCTGCCGCTGCCGCTGATGATGCTGCTGCTGCCGCCGCTGCTGCTGCTGATGATGCTGCTGCTGATGATGCTGCCGCTGCTGCTGCTGATGATGCTGCTGCCGCTGCTGCTGCTAGAAGCTGCAGCAGGCGGAGGACGAAAGACATCAGCAGCAGTAACAGCAACAACCATCTTCATCACCATCAGTATCAACAACATCATCAGCAATAGCACAACCGCTAGCATCAACATCAACAACATAAACAGCAACAGCACAACCAATCATCGTCATCAGTATTAGCAGCAGCAGCAGCAACAGCACAACCATCATCATCACCACCATCAGTATCAACAACATCATCAGCGCAATAGTCATCACCGTCAACAACAGCACAATCATCATCATTTCCATCGGCGTCAACAGCACAATCATGACCGTTAGTATTACCTTATACCACCATCATCACGAAAACACCATCAGCACCACCATCACCACCACCACCACCACACATCAGCACAATGTGGGCACGAATCACACCGTTAGTATTACCTTATACCATCATCACCACCAAAACACCATCAGAACTACCATCCCCACCACCATCACCACCACCACACATCAGCACAATGTGGGCACGAATCATCCCGGGTACTCACGAATTGAGGTCTCTATGGTAGAGTCGACGTCTCAGTGAGAAGAGTCGAGCTTGAAGAGTCCGCGTATCTATGGATGAGGCAGGGTGTCTATAGATGAGGTACTGTATCTATGAATGAAGCAGGGTGTCTATGAATGAAGCAGAATGTCTATGAATGAAGCAGGGTGTCTATGAATGAAGCAGGGTGTCTATGAATGAAGCAGGGTGTCTATGAATGAAGCAGGGTGTCTATGAATGAAGCAGGGTGTCTATGAATGAAGCAGGGTGTCTATGAATGAAGCAGGGTGTCTATGACTGAAGCAGGGTGTCTATGAATGAAGCAGGGTGTCTATGAATGAAGCAGGGTATTTATGAATGAAGCAGGGTGTCTATGAATGAAGTAGGGTGTCTATGAATGAAGCAGGGTGTCCATGCATGAGGAAGGATGTCGCCACTGCATACGAAACAGACTTTGTCGAGTTTCGTTCCGCGTCCGAGTGGTGCTGGAAGGAGGAGAGAGGAGGAGGAGAGAGAGAGAGGAGGAGGAGAGAGTTTTTGAAGGGAGTGAGAGTCAGGGGAGGGGAGTAGTGGGAATGTGGAATGGGGGGGGGTAACTCCCCCGGGTGGAGGCGTGGGCGGGTGGGTGATGGCGGTGAGGTTGCTGCTGCTGATGAAGGAGATGGTGGTTGTTGATGATTCTGTTGATGATGGTGAATGTTGATGCTGCCGCTCATGCTAGTGATTATTATGATGGTTCTTGGTGGTGGTTGATGGTCGTGACACCGATGCCGGTCGTCGTGTTGATGTTGCTGACAACATCACCATCGCCATCACCATCGCCGTCACCTGCCAGTGTTTAAAGCTATCGAACCCCTAATGAGCGGCCACTTCAAACAGCGACCGCGCGCACCTGTGGACTCTGATAAACGATACCAGGCGGGAGCGAGGGGGGGGGCACCCCCTCACCCCCCTCACCCCTCCCCTCACTACCCCCATACACACACAGAACCCCTCCCCACACATCCGGTGAGACAGGTAACAACCCCCTACCCACTGCCCCTCCCCACGGGGGGGGGGGGGGGACACCTGGGGATGGGCACAGGGAACTTATTCCCCCCTCCCTCACAACCTGCATCCCCCCCACCCTTCCCCCATTCCACCCGCCCCTCCGTCTCCCCTTCTCTCCCAAGTCCCCACGTGCGGTGGTTGCTATGGAGGAGGAGGGGGAGGAGGAGCGGGGCACGCTATTGGCGGGGAGGGATGGCGACCAATTAACGGTGGGGGTAAAAGGGGGGGGGGTGCGCGGGGTGGGGGGGGGGCTCTTAATTGTCCCTCTGATCGCCGCTAATGGGGCGCGTGCACTCCGGGGTCGAGGTTCCTCCTCCTCCTCCTGCACGCGGGGAGAAACGGACCCGGCAGATGCCGCAGCTGCAGCGCGTCGACAACTCGCCACGGTTCTCAATGCCCATGCGAGTGAATGATCCACACGTCACGTGTGCGTGTGGTGCGCGCGCGCGCGCGTGCGTGCGCGTGCGTTGTGGTGTTTGCGGCGAATCCCGAGGCTTGCTGGCGAGACGTTGAATGTCGACTCCCGGTCCCGGTTCGACGCGTGTCGCCCGACTAATGCGTCGTCGGGTCGCGCTCACGAGCACCGCACGCGTTGCCCGCCGCAAAAAAAAAAACGCAAACTACCTCGCTGATGTCGCCAATGTGCATGAACCATCACGCCTGCAGCTCCGCCCGTAGTCGTGGGCTACAGCCACCCGCATCGAGCGCTTTCAGACGCGCTCCTGCGGCCGTCTGGAACGCTCTTCCCTCCGATACGGAGCGATGCGCTTTTCAATCGAGATTGAAAGGTAATTTCTTCAGGACTGCTTTTTGTGTTTTAGTCTGTTGTCCTTTTCGCACGCGCCTCCGATTAGCGCGGTTGGCTACGTACGGTGCGAAATAAGTTCAACGTACGTACTGTACGTGTCCTGCCCAAGCACCCCCCCCCCTCCCACCTCCAACTCGCGGTGAAGGGATTCAGTGCGGCTGCCTGATGGGATGGGTAAGAAACGCAACATGTTGTTATTGATGCGGAGAGACGTGAGATGAGAAGGAGACATTGCTGATGTGTCTCTCTTCTCTGCGTCTTTGTGTTGAGTTACATTTCATTTTTTTGCATGGGTTTCGGCCACGTGATGCTAGTTTTATGCCAAAATTCTTGCCGTGAACCCCTCCACCACCCGACGAGATTGCCACCTTTAGACAGATGTCGTTATTGATGCGGGCCTATATGTATTGATCAGATTATGACTGATAAGTAACAAATATGGGTCACACACTCCAGTTCATTAAAAGTATTATTATTGTCCCACGTGTTCACCTAGGAAAGTCTCACCGAGTCTCAATACTTTGTTTTTTTTATAAGGAGAGAGAGTCCTGCCAAAAAGGGCTGATGTTGGTGTTGTGAGCAATCCCAATTATTTTTGCAGATACATTTGAGCATTGCGATGCTTTGGCCAATACCAGTTACGCTGCGTGCTTTTTTTTTCATTTGGCCGGCGAAGGGAGGAATTCCGACAACGTGGAGAGAGCCCCCCATGCAGAACAGGGGGAGTGAGCAGACAAACTCCACGCGCGGAGAGGCAAGTGCGCCCGAGTCGGGAATCGAACCCAGGGTTCCTTCTTGCTGTGAGGCGCGAATGCCAACCACCGCACCACCCGGGGGGGGGGGGGGGGGGGGGGGGGGGGGGGGGGTGGTGGCTTCTGTCATCTGACCAACAACCATCAGGAACCGCGTAGCACCGAGGTTCCCATTCGTTCGCGAATCGGAAGGTTCCACATCGCCCATTGGGCGAATGACAAAATCGCTCCACGGGTTTCTGTCCCTTCGCGTTAAACAAAACAATGCTGGTTGTTGTTGTTTGTTGTTGTTTGTTGTTGTTTGTTGTTGTTTGTTGTTGTTTGTTGTTGATGTTGTTGTTCTGTACGCATCCCATCAGCCACGCGGCCCGGTCTGCGGGGGCGGATCGTTTTGGTCAGAATTTGGTTCAACGCGGGCACACGCATGGAGCCGTCTCCACTCCCAAACCGTTCACACTGACGCCTGTTGTACATTTGGAGTTGGCTTTTTCTCCCTGCGGTCGCGTGGATTCTTCTCCGGGTCCTCCGGTTCTTTTCATCCACCTCGGACGAGAAGGGCCTGAAGTCGAACTCCGCTCAGAGTTGACAGCGCAGTGCGCTAACCGCAGCGCCACCGCTCCCACCGCGTGCCCTCTACAGTTGCCGGGTCCCGCACTGAGCACGCGGCAGCCGTAGGTGGGGGGGGGGGGGCGGGGTATCCGCCCCCCCACCCCGACACACATGAGGCCCCTCCCCTCGGGCCCACAGCCCCCGCCCCTCCGCGTACACAAAAAACTTCAAAGTGAGCAATTAAGCGGCAGCCGCGCTTTCATGTGGCGCGGGGGAGGGGCGGGGGAGGGGTGGGATAAGGGTGGGGGGGACTGCAGCTGCACCACCCGGATGGGGGGGGGGGCGGAGCTGCGGATGGAGACACAGACATCCCTGGCACCCCCAAACACTCCCTCCCCTCCTCTCTATCCTTCCACATCCACTAAGACGTTTCCTGTAAACAGCGCTAATTAAACCCAAACGATGTGGAGATTTGATTTTAATTGTTGGGTGTGTGTGTGTGTTGTTGGGGGGGGCAGGGTGCCCCCCCTACCCACCCTCCATCCCCCGCCCCCCACGCCACCGATGTGAACATCCGAGAGAGAGTTTGAGCCGTGCACACGCGCGGGTGTCACGCGCCGCGTGTGTGCGCGTGTCTGTGTTCGGCAGGATCTAGGGGGCTAAACGGGCGCGGCACGGGCTAGAGAAGAGATGGAGTGGTGTGGTACAGGAGGACGTGGAGCTGAGTGGACTTGCCGATGACTGGTACCAGCGGTGTCAAGATCGGCCTCTGTGGAGGAGGCTCGTGAAGGACGCTACTGGGCAGTCGGAGGCAGTCGCCCTCCAACAACAACGGAGGGCGGAGGAGCGACGCTCACAACAACGAGCGGAGCGCCGGGTGGCTAAAGCACAGCAAGTTGGCACAGTAGGGGGCACAGGTGGTGCATCAGCCAGTCATCTCAGTCATCTTAGTCAGTCGACCAGTGGCACCTGCTAGGTCTGCCCCGTGACCTCCTGCCAGCGGGCGTTCGACACTTCACGTGGCCTCAAGGTGCACATGGCCTGGCACAAGCGTCGTGGTGACGTCACCGCCACTCAGTGGCGAATGGCGGTTGTTGTTGTTGTGTTTGTGGGGAGCGGTGGTGGCTAGCGCGCAGCACTACGAACCTGGCCACCCTAGTTCGATTCCCGCTCGCGACCAACACCGGGGACGATTTCACACG